TGAAAATGTGTATCTAATAGTGTTTCATTTTGTCTCAATGAAGAAAGCCATTAACTGTGATTCATAACCGTATAGGAGCAGGCCTGGAAAAAGAGGTACACAGCAAGACCCAATCGGTCTTATTTATTCTAGATATACATATACATAAAAACGTGTTTGTTTCCATGAGGTGTATAGACTGAATCCTTGAATTGTTTGAACGAGGTCAGACATCAAAAGGAATAAAAATTTTAAAGCTCTTTTAAACATATGCATACAGAAGGAAAAATCTGTACACTGTATGAAGGAACAAGTTCAGAGTACATAGAGAAGGGTACTCTCATTCCATTTGTTAGTACTCATAAACTGGGTAATCTTTACATTTCAATGCCATCAAAGCCTAAACTTAACCTATAGGTTTTCGATATTCTTTATATATACATATCATATATATAATCAAGTGTTGAAGTATTTATTCATTTTTAACTTTTAATTCTTTTGATTTGAGCGATCCTGATGACAGTACCAAATTTTAAAAATGTATTTCTTTTTTCTAGCCATAGGTCGATATTGATGTTGATTAACTGTTATTTTCCAAGGGTATCATCAGATCAGTAGTCAGTGCTTCGGTACTGACATGTTTTATAACAGGCCATTATCAAATCATCCGTTGGTAATAGAAAATATTAAGAAAATAAGGTTGCAACTCCATACGACCACCTAAGATGGATGTGGCAGTTATTTTTATATTTCTTTTAGTCACATAGCGCTTCAAGTATTCAAGTATTCATAATTCCTTGGCTTTCTAAGTTTACAAATGGGAGGTTTAGCTAGCTATAAAACCAGGTTTAACCCACTATTTTCTTCGGAAAATGCTTGTACCAAAGTCAGGAAAATGGCAGTTGTTTTTTTTTTTCATTTGATCCGCTGATTGATAGCGTTTGATTTTGTCAGTTTTTATGGACTTTCCCTTTTTGAATTTGACTTGGAGTTAGTATTTTTGTTATACTTTTTTTTAGATTTTGAGCGTTTCTGGTGCAGGTAAGACATGTATAAAGCACTTAGAACACACCAAATTTAAAAAAAGGGTTATTTTCATCATCTATATCAGTTTTGAATAAGAATTAAAATTTAAACACGCAATTACCGACGGAAAACTCCTTTACGAGCAAAGAGCAACCTCGGATTTTTAAGTTTTTGACGCAGCTGAATTTCAGGGAAAAACTGAAATACTTGTAGATGTTGTTCCAAATACAGAAGTTAATGGCAAAACGGAAAACCTAACTTATTGTAGTGAAACCTATGCAAGGATATATGCATGGTCTTCCTTTTAGTGAGTATTTAGACCTCATATATCAGTCTGATACCAGAGCCAACGTCTTCTTTATTTACTGCGTCGCCAAAGTGTTCTGAGAAATTTTCTATGCCAGAATATCATCGAAACGCTGAACTTTCCAAGATTAATTATTACACTAACTGTATTCCAGAGAATTAAGGTTTTGACTATATATAAAGCAGTTTGTGAAATTTTTATTTTTGTGCAGAACATTGAAAGTCAACTAAGAGCAGTTTTTAAATCTTTCAACAAACACATTTTGCAGACAATTGATTCTTTCTGTACAATTGAACAAATTCATCTTTTTGTTGTTTATTTTTTCCTTATTGTAAATAAAGTACGTAAAGTACAGAATGAGACGCCATCATAATTAATTGGCCGTTGTGGAATATCTGTATCTGATTGCAACTGGTCAACTGTACGAATGTTCAATTGCAATGAGCACGACCTGTTCACTGGTTAAGCAGGAACTTCTTAATCATCCACAGCACATCATTTCATTCCCCAGTTGATTTGTGGGGTTCGTGTTGCTTAATCTAAAATTTCTGTGTAGTGTTTGTGGATCCTTCCTCCTTTTTTAAAATGTTTATTGGTATACAATACAGAAAACTAAAGCAATGCATGCAAGCATTGTGGGCAGTATTGAATTAACTGCAATTGAAAAGTCTGAAAATTCAATAAAATGAGAATGGAAATGGAGAATGTGTCAAAGAGACAACAACCCGACCAAATGAACGGCTGAACATAATGGATTGACTTTTGTTCGCCCTTTTCAGATCGGTGTTTCAGTTGACCTTGTTGGTGATTAATAAATTATCAATTATGTCTATAGCACTGTTGCTATCAATTTACGATACAGATTCAAAGATGATACAATGACCATGTATATGTTATATATATTATTTAGTAAAGACGTAGAATAAAGATGCTTACCCTGTCGATACAACTCATTTAACACCATTTTGGGTTTCCGCAAATCCCCGTATCATATACTGGACAGCAAGTTTAGATCCAGTTCGAAACATAACTGTTGTGTATTACACCCTTATACTCATCGAATGATTAAAAGGGAGAAGAAGGTATCTTATTAACAAAAAAGAGATATCTAAATTGGTCAATATGTGCCAATAGAATCTGCCAAGCTCTTGATCATCTAGACAAGTTATGGATACATTGATCTGAGATTTACTTAGTACAATGATCTGGAATTAACATCAAATTGAATCATCACATTGAATCAAATTGGTGTTTTCGAGCTCAGTTAGATAGATCAAACTAAAGAATATATAAGCGTGTAGAAAAATTATAACACTTAGTACGTCATTTTGTTTATCATTTTTATTGCATGCTCCTCTGTAATTACATTCAAATGTATACTGTTTGTGACACAACTGATTCACTCCTTAATTTACAGTTACTAGTATTTAACTTGCCGGATTTTTCGGTCATTTGATTGATTGATTGATTGTTGATTGCTTAACGTTCAGTGGCAAATATTTCATGCATATTCAGGACGAGAACAAGTTCACAATACATACTCCGGTCAGAATGGGGACGTTAACTCCGATGCCTCGTGTAAAGAGAGTGCCACGTTCTTTGCACGTTAAGAACCCTTACAACAACTCTTTGAGTGGTCCGTAGGTGACCTGTTGCAAGGCTAAATTTCTGTCCCTATCCAAAATACCCTCATTTCCCGTGGCAGTCTAAATTTCTCCGACCTTAATCCCTTAATCTATTACAGAACCTACCTATTGTATGTATTGTGAACTTGTTCTCGTCCTGAATATGCATGAATAGAAGTATGGTCACCATTGGTCTTCCTCCGACCGGCAGTAAAACCCGTGCCAAAGTGGGGCGTCCGTTTGGCTGTGCGGGATGTACTTCTATTCCCCAGTCACCCTTGGGGGCTTCGGTCATTTGTTATTCATATTTGATATACAAGGGTATTCATGGATCCTCTTTTGGGGTTTTGTAACCTGTGAAATCTAATTGAAATAAAACTCTGGTTATATATTTAAACTACATAAAGTTCCATCGAAACAAACGCTTGACAGATATTTTCACAAACCGACCAAGTTTCCTTATATTGTTCTTCCACCAAAGCCATTTAAAAAAAATCTTAAATCTTTAATAAAATTCCTAGAGAGTACAGCAGATTTTTATCTGAGTTTCCGATTGCCATTGCAATACAATGAAATGGATTTCGGAAAGGTTTACGACAGATATTAATATGTGTTGTACATTCATTATATTGAATTATATTGCAACTGTCGTACCGATAACCGGTCATAGAGTGTGTACTGTGAAATTTATAGATCAAGTTTTTGAAAAATAGTTGTTTTTTTACATATCCATTTTTAAAATTTATTATGCCAATATCAATTTAAAAGCAAACGCGTTTCTTAATGAGGTGAAATCTTCCAAAAGCGTTACATTGAGCTGATTATTGTATGCATGTTTTTTTTTTTTAGTTGAAATCTTTTATTTATAGTTGGAAACACGTCTACATTATTCATTTATTTTATTTTCTGTATCAGCCATTACTTCGAGAATTGCATAAGATCATTTTAAGCACTGTGCATTACCCCTCTGAAAAAAACTGCAGCCGATAGTGTGTAAAAAGTTGCTCAATCATTATTTTGTTCTCTATGCTGTGTTTTATGAACTGTTCTTAGTCTTTTTTGTTAATCATGATGCTATTATAATTCGACTTGTGGTTTTTGATAGCTCTGTTTGTATCTTCTCTCTCTCTCTTTAGCAGATAATTGAATCGGGCATGGTTTATTGCATCTTTTGTTTTGTAAATACAAAAAGTGCAAGGTTTCAACTCTCTCAGAAAAAGCTTACCTTTCACCTTTTTACTATATCTTATGTTCATTTTGTAAAGTGGCACATTTTATGCTTTCAAACTTTTGGTTTTGGTATTTTTAATGACGATATAACCTATCAAATACAAATTTTGGTATGTCAGAATTAAATTTTCATACATTTTCAATATGATTTTCATATTGTGAATTACAAGCACCATAAATTGTTGATAGTGTGCACTTAAAGTTTTACCATTGACACTTCTATTTTTATGCAATATATCTTAATAAAGTTTGTTCACTGAATTGATATGTCTAAAGGTTTTAGAATATCAAATAAATTTTATCATTGAAACTTCTATGTTTATGCACTATATCTTAATAATGTGTGTTCACTGAATTAATATGTCTTAAGGTTTCAGAATATCAGTTACGGTCAGAAGTTGTCAAAAATGATCATTCATAATTGAATTATGAACAAATATAATTAGATGCTGCACATATAGATATTTGCACTTTAATAATTCACAAAATGAAAGGTTCTTTCTTATGCCTGCATGGTTCGTTTTTTTTACGTTAATGCATATTTAAACCTTTCATAGACTTCCATACGAAGCAAGGCCAATAACTTATGACATTTCATTCCACTATATTTATAATCCATTTAGCTGTGAATAGGCAAATATCTGTTTTCAAATTCTGTTAAGTAACACTATATTTTTATGCTGTTTTTTTTTTCCACAGAAGCTGTATTTACATTTTATGAATGACTTTTGTGCAGTATTGACGCTTTATATGTTGGTTTGAAAGCCTCGGGCTGATTGGTCATATAAATGTCATTTAGCTCCGCCTATTTAATATGCTTTTATCCTAAACTCAGGTGTGCATGTTTAGATTTTTACCTGTCGAGTTAAATTTCAACACCTTAACGGTATAAGCATTCAATCTTGATGTCTTAAGGATTACATTTTGAGAAAACTTTAAAGATGTCATATGGATCTCAATATAGAATCTAAAAAGGTATGTATCCAGGCTGTGTGTGGTTTTATGTTAGTTCATCATCTATCCAACACACAAGGAAATTTTAATTAACTTAAAATATAATTATTAGTTTGTTGTCATTACGTTAACGATAGGGTCTTCCTTCCTTCCTCTTCGTAATTTTTTAATAATTTAACTGTTTCTCAGATGATAGTGTTTATAAGAATCATCGGCGATTGATCGTAAGAATGATTTTATTCTGTTAACAGTATAAGTTGTCTGAAAACATTTTAATGTCAATATTAATTATTCCGTTGCTCATAAAATTCCATTCGTTCTTTTTAACACTGGGAAATAAGTTTCCATTTTTCAATCTATACAGACATTATTGATACAAAATCAACAATAATTTCATTTTGTATATAGTTTATAATCTCTTGTATACTCTATATAAACCTATAACAAATCAAGCAGTTCTTTAGTCTATAAGTTAATGTAGTAGTCTTTTGTTATTGTCACGTTTGGTAATTCAGACAGATTTCAACTTGTATCAGTTTTCTCCATGTATGTATTCAAACCTGTGTGAAAATAGTGACAACTCCAATGTTTCATTCATAGTACCTGAACAAATCCCTGAAGCCATGTTGAGACAAACCTTAAATCTTTTTAAGATGATTTTTGTAAATACCTTTTTACCTTAAAGGTTGTCCTTTAGTTTTTGTAAGGTTTGATGGACTCTCCCCTTTTTTTAACTCTCCTTTGAGTTCGTTATTTTTTTTCATACTTTTTTATTGAAGATTTAAGATTCCTGCGCAGACTGCAATACTATCCAAACCAATTGACTCAATTTCTAATAATTAAGGAAAAATTATCTGCCTTCATTAGATATTTACTTGGAAATGATGACAATATAAAAACAGGGATGTGGTAAGATTGTCAATGAGACAACTTACCACCAAAGTTCAAATGAAGAGGATGTAGGCCACCGTACGATGTTTGTTTTAACCTTTGACATGAAAGTCATCGTTAAAAGTGTTGATTTGTATGGGGAGTTACATTGAAAGGTTTTTGGGACCAAGGAGTATGGTTATGGACATAAAAATCAGGAAAATCTATTTACTAATTGTTAAAATTTAATCCAGTAGAATTTGAGATCTATTGGTTCATCTAGAATTGGTTGTTTTAAGCTTGACACTTTTTAATACCAGTTTCAATATGGCATACAGTCATTGCACTGGTGGAATTCTTTTCTGGGCCTTATGGTCTCCGTCTGTAAGGTTATTGGGGTCAATGATGATGTGATCCATTTTTATTTCAATATGCAATATAAAAAATAAGGACAAGACAACTTTACCACAAAGACCAGAGGACAAAAATGTAAACATCTACTGGATATCACAGTCCCATGTTTTTTATGTTATTTTTGTTGACTTTAATATTTACAATTACATATTTTTTTTAATTCTAGAAGAACACCTTAAAATCAAATAACTTCTAAAGAAAAAAATACATGCAAGTTCAATTGAATAAAATCATCTCACAATATAATATAACAAGGTCGACATGCTCCTTAACTATAGGGTATATCAGACAATCTTTGTTATACTAATAAGACATTTATATCATTTATATAACAAACAAATTAATTTTGGACATACAGAAACTATTAACACACATGTTACATGTGTAATTGTGTTACAAACTGTGTGTATATGGCTGGATTCACACGACCTGTCACCCTGCAGCAGATGTAGAAATTTTATGACATATCATATGTTTCATATAAATTCGGGATGCTTTTTTTCTAAAATAAAATGCATTATTAATTTCCAGGCTGTATCTGATAGCTTTATATTTTTTATTATGTCTCTTTATGGAATATAAAAAGATTTAATTTAAAATGATATAATAAATATTTTCCCTTGCCAACATGACTTGTATCATAGTTGTGTAGCTATATTAATTGACTTTTTATATCTTAATGAAAACTCAGATTTTAACATTGATTACTACAAGGGTTTTTTTTTCTGTTCAGTCTGCTGCAGTTCTTTTCTTCCATAGATATTGAATAATCCATCCTGCTGTGGTATTCTCTAACATGTTTTTATAAATTATTTTTTCCTAACTCCACGGAGGTCTTAATACATTTCACTGCTTGTTTCATTCTGTGACTGTTCAAGCTGCATGTGATAAATCAATTATTTCTTATCTTTCGAGAAAATTTCATGTTTTTACCGAATTACCTAAAATAAGATGAGTCCTATTTTGGTTTAAGCGATAAGAAGTGACAAACCTTATTTTTAGTTAATGGTGATGTACTTCTAGTAAGATGACAAGATAACTATAAGGACAAAAACACAGAAAACAGTCCAACAAGGAAACCATCTGACAATCATTGTACCATCGTTATTGACTAAAGCGTTAAAATGATTGTTGGGTTAATTGCTATTGAAATATTGAAAATCATCTTTAGGTCTGGATACCCGGTACAATACAAAGACTTCAGATGTATTGATTTCATTTCGACGTTTGTATTTATGTCATTCGTTGTACGGTTATCTTTTTTTTTTATTCTCCTCGTACACTGAGAGTGTTTATCTTAGCTTATAGTTGATTTGAATGAAAAGAGATGTGTTTTAGGCGAAAAGCGAAGGTTTTTAGGTGTATGCATACAATAAAACACTGTTAACATAAAACACATAGATACATTTGACACAACTAAAACTTCCTTATGTCAATTATTTTAAACGTTCATATGGGAAGCATTCAAGAAGGTAGTTCTATATCCAAAAAGGAACCAATACGAGGTTCACCCTTATTATGCAATTTTTGTTAAATTTGAAAAAAAACTCAAAAGAGATTTGATGAAAAGCTGTGTAATTAAACACTGACCACTTGGTTTCATAATCCACCTGGAACTTATATACGTAGTCAACTCGCAATTGTATCGACCCAGCATTAGTGATTCGAACACACTGAACTCGACAACGTTTCATCGTTATCTCGAGGTCCCTTCGTCTGAAATGCAATTTATTACTTTTGATTTCAATCAAAAATAAATAACAGGAATTATGGGCTAATTATTAATTGGGTATGGCCCATTCAAAAATTGTTCAGTAATGTGTGGCAAGATTAGCTTAGTTTTGTGGGTACTCATTATCAACCCTTAATCGCGATCTATTAGGAAAGAAAGAATTAAAAAGGTACAATAAAAAGAAACCAGAACAAAATCACCGAAAACACAGCGCAATAAATACAGTACATTGATACTATATCAAACTATGTTAAGTTATACTGAAGGCAAGCTCCATGTACTTAAAAGTACAGTTTTATTTCGTATCGTTTAATAATGTACATTGTACTCAGTTCTTCTATCTGTATCTTGTAATTCGTGCCAACACCTATAGGCCCTGCCTAGTGCAGGGGTGGATCCAGGATTTTAGGTTAGGGGGGGGGCACAAACTTAAATATTTTTTTTAGGTAAAATTATCGAAATATTCTTTAATAAGCTGAGGACTACCCATGCTTTGATAATTTTAGGGGAGGCCGCACGCCCGCCACGCTAGTGTATTGGACAAATTATATAAAGACTAAATTTCAGAACCTAGGAACCATTGGTGTTGAAATTATATTCGACTCAGATACTTAATTTTTCTATATAGATGTATATACAATACAATATATTGATGTAACAGGTGGAAATAATTTATGACGTTCTGCAATTTATTATTTATTTAGTAAATAATTTAGAAGATTCATGACTTGTCTAAATGTGGTACTCATCGTTAATATTTGCAATAAGAAAATATAGATTTATTTTGAAATTGAGACAGTCACATGGTTGAACTGTACGAAAGTGCGAATGAACCTTTGATATGTAAAATCATGGCAACTATCAGGTCTTTCTTTCTCCGTTCATGAGTTATTATAGAATTTTACATGTTATGAACAACACGACAGGTGTCATTACCGGAGCAGGAAATGCACACCCTTCTTTAGAACCTGAGTAAACAACCAGGGTAATTGTTCCTTTTCTATGTGCAAAGTGTTTTACACTCACACATCAAATTTATATTTTGTATTGTTTTCTTGATATCTTATTAAATTTTTTAGGTAACTTTTTAATATCACATAAGACAATGTAAGACAACCGTTGACAAATTTATGTGGCAACTGAAATCACCGTAATAGACAATTGGACTTTTACTTCAGAAATATCCAAATCGAATCTGAACTACATTTTATTCAGTGCCGAGGCAATTATCATATTTCAATATATTGTTCGCAGACTAAAACATTTGCTTTATATACTATGTATCCCTTTTGTATTGTATAATTTTTAAGATGTATCGTCATGTACTATAGATAAAAGATATCAATCTTGGCGTTCAATTTACTTTTTGTGGGTCAAGCGCAGAAGTAATGGGCTGAAAAACGCGGCAACCATAAATTAAGCTTGTTTGGTCGTTATTAAAGTCCATTTTAAATGTTCCTTTTGTTATCTTAAATCTTCAACCTTCGTTCAAAACTGATAAGTAAATAAAAGCTAACTGTTTAAACTTTGAAAAAATAAGCTGAAAGATACAATGTTTACATTTAACGAACAGGCAGATTATTTTCACGTCTCGTTTCTTAAAATTCAAAGGAGATTTTTGAATTACAAGTAGTGTTCTGATTCGTTTTATTGATCTCTTTGGATGATCCATTTTCAAGGATTTAAATAGGATCGTTGAAATTTTATACAGATAGGCGTAGATTTCAAGAGAACAGGGACAATATTTATTTACTGCATAGATATGGCCTTGTAGGTATCAGGTTATACTTGCCGACAGAAATATTCTCACTTTTAAACGAGAAATTACGTGAAAAAGTTTTTTAAGTCTTGAGCTATACAGATTGATTAATGATTCGGTATATTATTTAATATACATATTCATTCTATAGAAATTCGCTTATTTATTATGTTCTTACTGTAATAAACTGATCTTTTCACAATATTTATGTATTTAATGAGAAAAAACATCTTTTTGTAAATGTTATAATAAAGAGAGGAAATTCAAATTAAAACGTCGACGTCACGTATCATTAATGCCGATTTAACCTTCGATTTTTATTATCTGTGAAAACACTATGAATATATTTTAAAGGTCCATGACTTGATTTTAAACTTGCAATTATTCTTAAATAAAATGATACCTTAAATCAATAAAATTTAACAACTTTATATGTAAATACATAATTTACATGACAACCCTATTCTTCACACAATATTTTTGTTATTTTATCCGAGGGCCATGAAGATGTGTGTCATTGCTCGGCTAGGTTACACTGGATCAATTTCAGTTGTCTAAAGCAGGCCTGACATCATCAATAATAGCCACGGGGTCTAAATCAGAGGATTGCAATGTTGGTTTGATGCAAACTTCTGTAACAAGTAGTAATATTTATTATAGATATAGTGATATTGTAGGAGTGAGATGGACCGATACGGGTAAAAGGCCTGTGTTAGTCAACAATGAGTAAACATCTTAATAAAACATCCTCAAGAAAGATTGTTTTCAATATACCGATGATCATATACGCAAACGCTATTGCAGTAAAATTTTTCACACCTTATCTTTCATTCGTTGTTAAGACTCGCATCATAAATTCTAAAAAGAATTGTTTTATGTGTCACTTTTCATTTACATTTTGGTTCTTATTGGCATCACTTTGAAATAAGTGAAATTGTGCCGGATTTTGAACAATCAAAGACAAAACTCGTGGAAATTTGTGTTTGTGGTTTTGTTGAATCGCTGCATTGTTGTATTTCCTTTAATTAAACGAAGCAAACAAACAAAAATAAAACAACTACACCACAAGTTTACCGAAAATATATATCAATTCATTTCTAGAAAACTTTGTGTGTCTTCTCACATGTAATTACACTCAAAATTATGCGTATTATATGATATTAAATGCAAATATGCAAATAAACTTTTTTCTAAACATTTTTTTAATCCGCACATTCAGCAAGTGCATTGTTTACATATATATACATATTTTATAGACATCTACTTGCAGCACTATAATTGATATTTAAGTAAGGAACATTACTACCGTGATCATAAATCAAAATTGAAGACTTAACAACCAGCAAAGTGCATTATGCAAATAGAAAAAGTGCATATAAGTTGTCTTTTCCTTTGATGTGGCGAATATAATGCACATTGTTAACATATCACATGCCTGTCACGTTCTGACGGTGAACATGTACAAGATTTATGTGGTTAGAAACTCCTGTATATCCATAATATCAATATTTTAATGTATTGTCTGATGCATAAGTTGTTTACATAATCTTGTACTTAGTTTTGCCTACCGATTGCCCAGCAATTAACAATAATATTAGTTTGTATTATTTGCTATAGATAGAAAATTTCATTTTGAGGTTCACTTGATTCTGTCATACGGTAAAGTCACAATGTCTAAATTATTTATTTTAACTTTATTTTTTATTAGCAATTATCAGCTGAAGAAAAAGGTTAAAAGGTTATTTTCTATTAAGATTATTGTAACCTTACTTTTCTGTAATTAACTTTAATTGGCAATTATCAGAAGAAAAAGTTTAAAAGGTTACTTTCTTGGAATTTAATAGGGAAATATTTGCGCATATTTTTTTCTTTATAAACGTACTTTATTTTTCAAATTTTGTCACAAGTGTTGCATCAAACGTACGGGTAACTTATATTTGCCATTTCCATGCACGCCATTTGATCTCTGGTGTATAGTTATCTCACTGAAAATCATACCACATCGCCTTATTTTAATATATTCATACAAGGACATTTTATTAACTCCTTTTGTTCAGGAACGTAGCTTAAGCTATGAAAGTCACCAGGACCTCTAGAATTGGCAAATCCACAGAAATTATTTCTACATATCTTTATTGCAAAATGTGTAGGTTGGATAAACTGTCGTTTAACATTTTAATTGACAGAACTGTAGCTACAAGTAGTAACTAATCATTTCCACAATCTTTGTACATTATCCGACATTAGTCTTTTCAGTTACTTTTGGCCTATTGAAGATCTCCTCTGCCAACTTGGATGACAAGATGCCTTTCCTTAAACTTAGTCTATAAACCAATATTTCCTCTTTGTGAAATGATTAATTTGCTTGCATTGTAATCATTCACTCGCCTAAATATCCAGACAGATTTTTATTGCTCCCACTTATTGAATCCGAAAATTATAAGTTGTAATAGATCAATCTTTTTTAGATGACACCTGTTAATGCTGTAATTTTTAAAGAAAAACTATAATCAGTCAATTTCTTGTTACATTATACTAATGTATCTTTTAGTTTTGTTACCTGTAGCCTTTCGTATAAATAGTACCTATTAGGTTAATAAAAAAGACGTTACCATCAATCATCCTGTAATTTTAAAATATGACATTAAAATATATTTCGTCTTCGTCTCTAAATGCCTTCAATTTGATAATTCTATGCCATCGAGTACGACAGTTTAAACGGATGTATATGATTTAACAAAAACGATTTACCGCTTTATAGGTTAATGGGCAAAAAGTTATTTAAAAGCTTTTGCAGGTGTCGTTATTAACAGTAATGTCATTTCCTCAATATTTCTAATAAAAATTATTTTGTACAAATACATCTGACTTTTAAGTGCAGGTTAAGATAATTGCAACACTGCATTGTATTAAATATAAAGTAAGTAAAAAAAAATTCAATGCAATAAAAGTAAATGCCAGTTTAATGTTTTATATTGAAAATTAGCCTCTCGTATTAAGACATGGGGAGTTAGGACAACATTGACAGACACTTTTGTTTATAATTAATTTGCACCTTTGATTTTGTGGAAACACTACTGCTAACTGCAAGAATCAAATTTAAAACTGCTGTTCGGTTTATAACGACAATAAATAACTCTTGTGTTTGTAGCTTATAAATACCTCCAAGCAGACTGACCTGAAACTCTTCACCGTGTTACATATTTGACCTCAACTGGATTTGTCAATATAAACCCTTCATAATTATTCTAGTTTGTGTCTGGGAAACATACATTTCCGTTAGAATTGAATTAACGTGTGTTTGATAGGTGTATGTGCATTTACATTTACTTTTTAGAACGTATCATGTAAATGCTTAACTAGGAGCACCTTATAAATTATTCATGACAAGTTGTCGCTTTTCCTGGTCTATATTACATGCATTCAGTCACATTCGAAGACAAATGAATGGTCTGATTTATACAAAAAGTCATTTCAACGGATTAAAAAAACTATGCTGATCTTATATACATCAATTTATTTACAGGAAGATTGAAGCAGCCTGACGATATGATTCGATGGTTCAAAGGAAGAAAGCATAAGCGGAAATGTTATGATAGTAGTGATGATTCGTCAACAGAATATGGTTTTAAAGATTCAAAATCTAGAGACAATTCACCGTATGGTTTCCGAAAGTTCGAAAATAATTGTGTTCAAGTTGCAGACGTTGTGCCAAAGGAAGTAAACAATACAGCATTAAATGACTGTACCACGGGGTTACACGGTTCGTCATCACCCCATATTTACGATGAAATTAAGGATCTCCCAGATAACATTATAGCAAGTCAGTTCAGAATTTTGACTGGTTTGAAATTTACTTCTAGTCTAACAGAGGAAGACGAAAAGGAAGGACCATATATGGTTGTTCCAGTATTGCCTGCCAGACGTATTCCCGCCAAATCTAGTGCCATAAAAAGTGCTACAAATGTATCTAGATCTCAAAACGACGTCCCCAAAGAATCGACAGTTCAACTGGAATCTAATTCTGATTTAACTAATACAATTATAAGTTTGAATGCACGTGATGGGATTTCTAAAACTCCGACATATGAAAGTGTGGATTTATTAAATTGTAATAGAAGTGAGACTGATTCGATTGCTTTACCAACCCGAATTCAAAATTCGGAACAAAATTTAGATGATAGTGAGACAGAATATGACCTCAATTCTGGTGAAAGTACTGAAAGTGAATATCCTGTGTTTTTGGACAAAATTGAACAAAATTTGTTTTTAAAACAACAAGTGCGGGAAATAATCCAGAGCTTAAGTAGAACTGACTCTGAGCAGTCACGATGCAATCGAACAGATTCTTTTTCGACTGTTTCGACAGAGTCGTCTAGCGTGCCACATACATCTGAGTCGGAAGTTTCGGACCCGGATGTTTTCGCCGATCAATCAGAATCAGATGATGATAATGAATATCATGAATGCACAAAGGAAAACATAGAAGTATCATATCAAGTTGCTGAGGCAAAACCGGAAGTAGGAAGTAAACATTCTGACAGTGATCTCAAAAATTGTGTTCAAAAACAGAAAAAGAGATTGTCAAAATGCAGAAAGCCAAAATTTAAGATTTATTCAATCAAAGATGAAGACCATGAAAACAAACTTCAATCTGTGATTCACGAGGATACAGAAATGTACCTCTTACCGTCTTGTCAAAAGGAAATAGACTATTATAATTATAAAACTTGCAGAAAGCCGGTGCTTGTTCCCACGTTACCAACCAGAATTTACCAGGACCCAGACAGGCTTAAAAGTAACAAGAACAATAAACTGTTGGGTGATTTAATTCGAATGAACTACGACAAGCAACATTTAATTCTAGTCTAGTAATCGATCTCTTTAAAATAAGATTTTTCTCACTAGTCTAGATACAGTTGTTCAAAGTTTCATTCAAGTCAGTTCATTCTTTGTGTCAAATTAATCAGTTAAAATGAAAATAATAGCAGGGTAATGAAAGATTTGATAACTGATTTTACCAGTTTAATGATTAAATACAGTTGTGGGAACCTCCAAATGACAAAAGTGAAACATTTTAAACAGATTTTTATACAAGTGCAATGAAATAAAATGGTTAATAATAACTGGTGTCTCTATCTTGTTGAATCTAGACTTTAGTGTGAAAAACAAATATTAGTGATACCGTACTTTACTTGGTGATTTTGTCATGTCACCTTAGTTTGTCCTTATGAAAGAAAGCAAGGTTTGTTTTGGTTCATCGCTTTATTATCGAAGATGGAAGAATAAGATATCTTTTCCACATAATTTAATGGTTGAAAACGTCCTTTTCTTAATTTGGAAAGTTAAGATATGTCATTTATGAGTTAAATGACTTGATAAATTATATGAATATAATGATGTTGTCAGGTGTAAATGACGTTAAGGTGACAAACCTTGGTTCTTGATGCAGATATGTTATTAAATATGATCTATACGTTAACTGATTATAGACATGTTAAGAGAGAACATTTATAATATATGCATACAATAGAGATCTTTTCGGAAGATATTGTATGGATCTAATGATTAACAAAATGATTTGGTATATATTTCATTTTGTTTTGATAGGTGGAAGAAACTTGTCATTAAATCAGTCCATTTAAATTTGACAGAACAAAATGTTATTTGGCATCACTTATACATGCATGCGTCAATTTTCCCATCAATAGATCTGAGTCTCTTCTTTACTTGAAAATGCACTTTTAAGGTCAAAATTAAGACAGGTAACTGTAAAAGTGATGATTTATTGAAATCGTTTCCATTTAAACAGACATGAAATCAACTATTAACTAGGTAAAGTCTGGAATCTTTAAACCAGGTGATGTTGTCACCTATGTTTCTGTGTACAGAGTAGCAGGGAATCTTTAAACCAGCTGTTGTTGTCACCTATGTTTCTGTGTACAGGGTAGCAGGGAATCTTTAAACCAGCTGATGTTGTCACCTATGTTTCTGTGTACAGGGTAGCAGGGAATCTTTAAACCAGCTGTTGTTGTCACCTATGTTTCTGTGTACAGGGTCGCAGGGAATCTTTAAACCAGCTGTTGTTGTCACCTTAGTATGTTTCTGTGTACAGGGTAGCAGGGAATCTTTAAATTAGCTGTTGTTGTCACCTATGTTTCTATGTACAGGGTAGCAGGGAATCTTTAAATTAGCTGTTGTTGTCACCTATGTTTCTGTGTACAGGGTAGCAGGGAATCTTTAAACCAGCTGTTGTTGTCCCCTATGTTTCTGTGTACAGGGTAGCAGGGAATCTTTAAACCAGCTGTTGTTGTCCCCTATGTTTCTGTGTACAGGGTAGCAGGGAATCTTTAAACCAGCTGTTGTTGTCACCTAAGTATGTTTCTGTGTACAGGGTAGCAGGGAATCTTTAAACCAGCTGTTGTTGTCACCTATGTTTCTGTGTACAGAGTAGCAGGGAATCTTTAAACCAGCTGTTGTTGTCACCTATGTTTCTGTGTACAGGGTAGCACGGAATCTTTAAATTAGCTGTTGTTGTCACCTATGTTTCTGTGTACAGAGTAGCAGGGAATCTTTAAACCAGCTGTTGTTGTCACCTATGCTTCTGTGTACAGGGTAGTAGGGAATCTTTAAACAAGGTGTTGTTGTCACCTATGTTTCTACGTAAAGGGTAGCATGGAATCTTTAAACCAGATGTTGTTGTGAACTGTGCACATGATAGCACGGAATCTTTAAACCAGGTGTTGTTGTCACCTATGTTTTTGTGTAAAGGGTAGCAGGGAATCTTTAAACCAGGTGTTGTTGTTACCTTTGTTTCTGTGTACAGGGTAACATGGAATTTTTAAACCAGCTGTTGTTGTCACCTATGTTTCTGTGTACAGGGTAGCAGGGAATCTTTAAACCAGCTGTTGTTGTCACCTATGTTTCTGTGTACAGGGTAGCATGGAATATTTAAACCAGCTGTTGTTGTCACATATGTTTCTGTCTACAGAGTAACAGGGAATCTTTAAACCAGCTGTTGTTATCACCTATGTTTCTGTGTACAGGGTAGGAGGGAATCTTTAAACCAACTTGTTGTCGCCTATGTTTCTGTGTACAGGGTAGCATGGAATCTTTAAACCAGTTGTTGTTGTCACCTATGTTTCTGTGTACAGGGTAGTAGGGAATCTTTAAACCAGCTGTTGTTGTCACCTTAGTATGTTTCTGTGTACAGGGTAGCAGGGAATCTTTAAACCAGCTGTTGTTGTCATCTATGTTTCTGTGTTCAGGGTAGCAGGGGATCCTTAAACCAGCTGTTGTTGTCACCTATGTTTCTGTGTACAGGGTAGTAGGGAATCTTTAAACCAGCTGTTGTTGTCACCTAATGTTTCTGTGTACAGGGTAGTAGTGAATCTTTAAACCAGCTGTTGTTGTCACCTATGTTTTTGTGTACAGGGTAGCATGGAATCTTTAAACCAGGTGTTGTGTGAACTGTGCAAATGATAGCATGGAATCTTTAAACCAGTTGTTGCTGTCACATATGTGCAGTAAACCAGGTGTTGTTGTGAACGATGTTGAGGGTAACATGGAATCTCGCGGAACCAGGTGTTGTTGTCATCTAAGTATAGGGTAGCATGAAACCCTGTTACCAAGTATGTTTGTCATCTATGCACCAGGAAGCATGAAATCTAAACCAGGTGTTGCTGCCACCTATGTCTATACATGGTAGCACACACACATTTCCGTTGGTCTATAAGACCAGTATTTGTCATACTGGTGTGTTTGCCGTCTTCAATATTGATTTCACTATTGACTTTTGTCAGATGATATGTAACCGATATTTTGCAGAAATAAATATTTTCTTCAAGAAGTAGACTTCCTTTATGGGGTCAAATGTAAATGATATATATATATATATATATATATATATATATATATATATATATATATATATATATATATATATATATATATATCATCATTAATTAGATCGTCACCGAGATCATAATAAGTATAAAAATATTTTCAAATGGTTTCATGGCAACCAGAGTCTGACTCTAAGAAAAGGAAATAAGTGCAGCAAAAATGGATCTTCTTAGTTAACACTGAAATGCAGTTAGAAAACAGAGTAGATATAAACTTTTTTCTTAAAAATTTTATATGCTGTAAAGTTGTTGTAACATTGACATTAATTTTCATTTTATTGTCTTGTTTTCGAAACTATTGGTAAGATCGACTTGATCATTATTATTCGAAAACAAAACATACATTATACTTTATTAGTTCTAACTGCGTTTCTGGTTTGATTAAAACCGTATACTCGGGTGAAGCAACTAAAAATATCATAAAATGTGGAGTCAAAATCTGACAACTTTGAGAAAGTGGAACCATTGGTTCTATATAAAAATTACACAAAGCAATCAATTAAAGACATGAACGTATTACATATGTAACACGTAAGGTATTATACGACATATGAAGACATGACCGTATTATATGTAAGGTATTATACGACAACTGAAGACATGACCGTATTATATGTAAGGTATTATACGACAACTAAAGACATGACCGTATTAAATGTAAGGTATTATACGACAACTGAAGACATGACCGTATTATATGTAAGGTATTATACGACAACTGAAGACATGATCGTATTATATGTAAGGTATTATACGACAACTGAAGACATGACCGTATTAAATGTAAGGTATTATACGACAACTGAAGACATGACCGTATGCTATGTAAGGTATTATACGACAACTGAAGACATGACCGTATTATATGTAAGGTATTATACGACAACTGAAGACATGACCGTATTAAATGTAAGGTATTATACGACAACTGAAGACACGACCGTATGCTATGTAAGGTATTATACGAGAACTGAAGACATGACCATATTATATGTAAGTATCATTCAGCAACTGAAGACATGACCGTATTATATGTAAGTATTATAGAGCAACTGAAGACATGACCGTATTATATGTAAGGTATTATACGACAACTGAAGACATGACCGTATTATATGTAAGGTATTATACGACAACTAAAACCCCAAATACCGAAAAAAAAATGAATGGATGATACCGACGAAGCACAGATTAATAGACGGATAAAAATGGCGAAGCACCGACAAATGGAACGGGAACCCAATTATTTCCCTCATTAATTCAATGTAATTTTATAATCATTGAAGACAAATTGTATTCCCTAAATTTGCCCAAATTTCAATTGCTATCTCATACTTGTAACCCCTTCGTGGTTTTTATTAGGGTTCTTGAAGGGTCATGACCGGCTCTTAAGAGTGGGCATTGATATGGTCATTTCATTCCCTTCCTGGTTAAAACCGAGGTTGAAATTTTGATCATTTACTAAGACAATCATCCACCCTATATAATTTAGAATCACACTAAATTTCATAGAAGTTGAAAGTTTAATTAATCTCTTTGAATACACTTAACATAATTTTCATCTCGGTACAAAATCCTATTTACAAGATGGTAGATTTATTAAGGGCCTTCATTCGTGAGTACCGGACTAGTATCCTGTAACTCTGATCCTGTTTTTCAAATGAAAGTATGATAACGACAAAGCACCGACTATTGGACTTTGAAAACGACGAAACATCTTCTAATGGATGGATGATAACGATGCAGCACCGACGTATGGACGGATGATAACGACGAAGCACCGACTAATGGACGTTGAAAACGACGAAGCACCGACAAATGGACAGATGATAACGACGAAGCACCGACTAATGGACGTTGAAAACGACGAAATATCTTCTAATGGACGGATGATAACGATGAAGCACCGACGTATGGACGGATGATAACGATGAAGCACCGACTTATGGACGGATGATAACGACGAAACACCGACTTTAATATGGGCGGCCGATTACGATGAAGCACCGACAAATTGACGATAAAAACGACTTAACATCTTCTACTTGATGGATGATAATGACGAAGCACCGACTAATAGATGGATGATTACGACGAAGCACCGACTAATGGATGGATGTTAACGACGAAGCACATACTTATGGACAAATGATAACAACGAAGCACCGACGTGTGGACGGATGATAACGACGAAGTACCGACTAATGGATGGATGTTAACGA